TTTGTAGAAAATTTTATTTTTATTGTTTTTATTATTTTATACTTTTTAGATTTGTTCTTTTTATTGTAGATTATTTTAAATTACTTTTCTCAACGATTTCTTTTATTTACGCTAAACTAAAGTCAGCTTCACATTATTTGTTTTAATTACTTTACTTAATTATTTCTTTTATTAACGCTCAACTAAAGTTTAGCGTACTTCTTTAATTATTACCGCTGACCTCATGGTTGTTTTTTTTTCCATATAAAAATGAATTTTCTTAAAATTTTGAGAAATATTGGTTGAAGAAGCTTGGAAATGGTTTTAAATTGAATTATCATCAGGTTCTGAGCTATCTTGAAAGTTTCAGAGCTCTAGCTGGTCAGGAAGTGGGTGAAATATCGCTTCAAAGATTCTAACTGGACGGACAGACAGACACACAAGAAAGCAACTTTATAAAAAACGTTGTAAAAACGCGTAAAATTAATTAGTAATTAGTTATTCAATATTTTTTAAAGTGTAAAGTGCATTGTGCAAGTTTTTTTAAAAGAAAGTGAAAAATTTATTTTCGACATATTATCAAAGGACATATTATGTTAAGGTAAGTACATATTATGTTATTACTTTTTTTAAATCTTTTTTTTTTTTTATTTCTTTTCTTTTTTCTTTATTTCTTTTATCTTCATGTCTTATCATTTAATTTTATATAGCATGTCTTTTGTGTGGAAGCACTTCAGAAAGGGCAACAAAGATAAAGCACGCTGTGACATGGACTTGGACAATCGAAAGTGTTGTGCTGTTCTCAATTGTGCTGGAGGTTCAACGAAGGGTTTGATAGAACATCTAAAGCGTGTTCATCAGATACTTGATCCATTGAAATCTGGACTGACAACTAGCTACCAAGCTCAACCAAGCACAAGCAGCACTGACAATCCTCCAGTAAAGAGGCAAAAGCTGATGACAGATTTTACTAGAGCATCGCTTGAGGAAACCATTTCTAAAGAAGTTGCTTTAAATGGATTGAACTTCGAACAGATCGTCAACTCAGATATAATAGCAGAGCATGTGAAAGAGAAGTTTCCAATGAAAAACTTCCCAAAGAATGGATCTGGTGTTGCAAAGATTGTTCAAGGTTTTCATAAAGACATCAAGGCTAAAATAAAATCCTGGATTCAAACTCATCCAGCTGAAGGAAATTTCTTTTCAACAACCCTTGATGAATGGACTTCTACTGCAGGGCGACATTTCTTGAACATTATTCTTCATTATTTTGAAAATGGTGTTAATAAAGAAATCAATTTGGGCATGGTTCCAATTTATGGAAGTGCAACTGCTCTTAACATCAAAAAACTAGTAAGTTGATATTATAATCTTTTTCTTTTTTTAGATTTCTAATCATTTTATTTTTTATTTTTTTATTAACAGTTCGAAGCAAGATTGAAGGAATTTGGCTTGGATCCACATTGTTGGCACTTCTGGTGATGGTGCGAGCGCTATGGTATCATTTGGTTCTATGATCGCATTAGAATACGTCTAGTGCAGTGATCATGGAATTCATCTGGGTGTTACTAAAGTTCTTTATCTAAAGAAAAGTCAGCAGATGCTCCAGTGGATGACGACAACAATGATGTCTTTTTTGTTGAGTGTGGAAATAAAGATGAACCTGATGAAGATGTACCTGATGCCAGCGAGGACACAGAATCAGACAATGAAAAGGAGGCCCATTCACTTCAAATGGTTTTCGCTTATCAATCAACGATCACCAAATTAAGAAAAATCGTGAGCCTATTCCATCGATCATTGGTCAAAAATGAAATTCTTCAAAAATTTGTTAAGAGGATGAACAACGGGAGAGAACTTAAACTGAAGTTAGATTCAAAGACTCGTTGGGACAGCCTTCATGATGCTTGCGAAAGGTTCTTGAAGTTACTTGGACCTGTGAAGGAAGCTCTGAACCACAGGGAGATTGACAAAACCGACTTATGGGCAGATATCGACTCAAAAAGATTGGAGGAGCTGGTAGAAGTTCTGAGTCCAGCAAAGTTGGCAATTCAGTTCATGTCAAAGAAATCAGTAAATCTCATTGATTGCAACACAACTATCAAGTTTCTCTTTGACAATTTAGAAATGCATGATCATCAGCTCTTGCAGGACATCTTCTTAGCTATCAAAAAGAAAATCAACAAACGCAAACATGACCTTCTTCAATCAGTCATCCTTTACTTGCACGACATCAACAGCATTAATGGGCCAAATCACTTTGCTACATCAACTGTTGCAGCTATGAGCAAACTTGCAGTGAAACTGATGGAAAGGCACTTCAGTACTGAAAATGATGATTGTGTGGAACAACCTGAACAGCAAGAAGAACCATCAGCATCAACCTCACAGCAGGTTCAAAGAAGTTTAGCTGAGCAACTGACACTTGCCTTGAAAGCTTCAAGAGATATCACCAACAAGCAGGCGGGCAAAGTTATTGACTACAAAAAGGAGATGCAGATGTATGCGAAGACAAAAGTACGCTCACCAACTCTGGATAGACTTTTCGAGGGACTGAATACAATACAAGCAACATCAGTAGCTGCAGAACGTCGTTTATCGGAAGCAAATATTCTTGTGGGCAAAGTTCGCAACCGTCTTTGTGATGAGAACATCCATGCTATTTCATTTCTTAAATGTTATTTCCGAAATAAATTAATAAAGTAGATTTAAACATAAAATTTTGAGTTCTTTGTATTGTTTTTTGAATTTTTTGATTAAAAATTTTCAGGTTATAGAAAGAAAAAATATATTGAAAAGCTCATTCCCGGTTACGGCAATTCCCGGGAATGAGCTTTTTCATTCCCAATATTCCCAAAATTGAAACTCCCATGAATTTGAGGATCACTATCTAAAGACGGTCTAAACATGTTCTAAAAAAAATTCTGAAGACTGATAAGAGTGTGAGAGATGAAAATCTTCAATTATTCTCTCAATGATTTTAATGAGCCATCAAAAAGTAAAGATTAATTAGATCCAGAGAGTACAGCAGCTAAAAACACTATAAACAGTTTCATTGATGCAGGTAATGACTTGATTAGAGCAGAAGATGTTTGTATTGCAGAAATAGTTAGAAATGGTCTAAATAACTAAAAAATATCAGTATTGCAAATTGGTGATAAAACATCGTTGTCTAGTGAAGCTTTGCAATACAACTGCTTTGTAACCTTTGTTAACTTAGTTAAAAATGTAAATATTAGTATTTAGTATTTTCTGGAATACTGCATTTAGACAATGACTGGGAATATGTTGTGCTTTTTAAAGTGAAACTTACCATTTTCTACAAATGTAGTCATGGGTTTCAGTCATGCATTAAATGCAGTCATGCATTTTAACAAACTGTTCCAATATTTAGATTGATAAGAATAAGAATCAGTGTTTCGGTATATTGTTGGATATGGCAAAGCACATGTTATGAGACGTGTTTGGTGTGACAAATGTTTTATGTATGGAATATGTAGCAGCATTTGACAAAAAACTACAGCGAAAACTTTGAACTACAAGGAAGATGATGTTTAATGTCAAAATGCACCACCCATGCCAATAAACCTAAAATTTATTTATAATATTTAATTGTGTCTAATAACGACTAATATAGTTAACGTTCACTTTAAGTTTTCTAGAAAAAAATACTTTTTGATAGCAAACAGAATACCGATAGCTCAGTAAAAAAAAACTCATTACTGTGTTACCAGTGAACTTCTGGTCATCTTGGAGAATTTTTAAAACTATTCTGAAACGCACAATATTATTAAAAAAAATTAGTTTTCAGAGTTTTTTTCAATCAGGCAACCTTCACATGTTTAATAACAAGAACAAAGCAATTATTTTGGATAAAAACTCTATCATCAACCAACATCATATTCTTTCTCACAGTCTAAAATATGTTCTGGTTCTGGAGAGGTTAATTTTTTCTGTTTACTTTAATTTTCTAATAAATATACTGATCTTCCATTTTCTAATAAATAGTATTTATCAATCATTAAGAATCATGATAATTGAAAACTAAATGCGGAAAATGTCAAAAATACAATAGATGATTTGCACTAATTAACTTTTCTACTTTTTTCATTACAGATCTGTCGTATTTAAAACAGTATAGCCAAATAAAATACCTTTTTTTTTTCCCTCTAAAACAAATATACATTAATTAGTTAGCATTGATTTGCAAATTTTAACAAGAATTGAGAATCCAAAAATTTTTAAAGATGTTTTTTTCCATTCTTATAACAACAATAATGAGCTTATTCACAATTAAAGCACTGAAAGAGCATTTCATACTAAAACTGCTTATATTTAAATGCTTTAAATGAAATAATTGCAATGTTTGTATCTTTTTATATAACAATATGAACATCAGAAAATTTTTCAGTCTCAGTGCAATACATCAAACACCCTCTCATACATGGCAACTCTATCAAATAAAAAAATATATATATATGCTTTTTAATATTATTTTGTTTACTATAAATGGCAGTGTATATAAAAAGAAAGCCAACTAGAGCCAACTAAAGTTGTTGGCCATGCACTCGACAAAGTGGAGAAAAAATTACAATTTTTAAAAATATGAACTATTAAAACTCAAATATGTAAAACTAAAACACTTAGTAGGATGCACATTAATTTGGGGAGTATGTATCTGAGCCTATATTAAGTATGGCAATGGTTTGGAGTAAAAAAATTATACTACGCTTGTTGCGAATCATCTTCATTTGGAAGATAGCTCAAGAATATGCAGGATTTAATTTAAAAACTAAAAGTTTGTGCTATGCTCTTTTTATAAAAAAAATAGGGTGGATGGTGTAAAACACTTGTTTTTATTTTTGACAATTTTTTCAATTAATTTTTATTTTGTCTCAAGTTTGAGATAAAATAAAAATTAAGTGTCTATATACTAATAAGTTTATTAGTATATAGACATTGATATCAGTTATAGCAGCAAAATGCAGTTTTTTAAAGAAAGTTTTTTTTTTAAGTTTTACCTGTACCAGTTGTTATGGGTTGTCCACATACTTTGTGAAATGATAAGATGAGCGTTTAAAGGGTCGATATCATCACTTAAATACAGTTGACATATGTCATCACATGAGGTATAGAATGTATGATTTCCTTGTTGTGAAGATACAAACCATCCACGAATTCGCTGACAATAATTGGGTTTGTTTATGCCTGCATCTACTAAAGTTATCATTTCACCGTAGTTAGATGTTTTTGGATAAATTAATAAGCTTCTCAAACTGCTTATATTAGCTTGCATGTTAAAAAAAACTTCACGGTACAATCCTCGAGAATCTAAATATATATGCAAACAAAATTAAAAAGTGTGTTTATATATTTTTTGTATGTGAGGTTTTAGAGCAAAAAAAAAAGAATATATACATATATATATATATATATATATATATATATATATATATATATATATATATATATATATATAAAAATATATATATATATATATAATATATATATATATATATATATTTATTTATTTATATATTTATATCTATATGCAGAATCCAAATAAATTAAATAAATAAACACTAAAAGTTAACTATAAATTATTGGCATAAAATCTAATCATCCTAAATATACTTTGTATCCCTCACATTGCTTGCTTTTTAACTTAGATTTTAGAGACATACAAATTACAGGGATATATCAATATATATGCAGCATCAGCATCACAACATGCAAAAAACCAGAATTGCAAAACAACAAAAGTACCTATTTCAAGAAAAAACTCTAAAACTTGCAAACTCAATAAGTATCGCAGCTTTCTACTTCTTTACAATTAAACTGAATTTTTTTCAACATAACCAGAATTTTTAGAGGTGTGTTCTTGAAATTAAGAGTTGGAAACTCTATACATTTATTTGAACAACAAAATTCACAAAGAAACACCATTATTAAGAAAATAGTTTTGACCTAAAATTTTGACTACACCAAAAACTTATCACTACTTGAGCCTTGACAGGAAGCGGGAGCTTTAGTTCTTGCTCTCACCCACACTTCCCTAAAGTGGTTTACAATGACAATTTACAACTCTTGCAAAAGTATAATTTATTTATAAATATAAACCACTTTTTAATTCTTTTTTTAAAAATTAAAAATACTTATGCAAACTACATAGAATAAAAGAGACAAAGCTTGGGTTTCAGATTGATTATGTAAGACTAGGTAACAGTTAATGTTAATGATTTTTTTGTAATGCTTGAGATTATATTTTAACTATAGAAATGGCTAACAAAAAGTTGACTTTGTAATATAAACTATTTTATAATACAACAATTTTGTTTTTGGTAAAGCAGAATTTTTGGTTTATAAACGTGAATATATTTATTACATAGCTATACTATAAAGTTGTAGAAGAATTAGTAAAAAAAAAGAATATTGTTCTTTCTTTTTAAAGACAGACATGCAGCACAGAGAGATTTTTCTTTCTAAAATCTTTTGGGTAAAATATCATGTAACATCACTATAGCATCAACGACAATATGGTCAATTTTGCAAAACTGTTTATAAAAGAAAACCATTGACATTGTAACTAAGATGGAAAAGCCGTTTTAAAAATAAACTAATAATTGCATAACATACTGCTTTATTAAGGCCTAACTACTTGTAGTTTTTTTTTGGAGTGTTTTTTTCAAACCCTTTTTGCTTTGAAACCTAACACTACTTTTGGCTTTCTTCTGAGTTGTTTTGTTATATCACCGTATACACTTGCCAACAACAAGAACATAATTGTTATTGTCGCAATAATCATCATCTTATACATTATTATTTTTCTCATTATAATTAGATGCTTAACAGTATATTAGCTTTTTTAGTAATTGCATATATATATACATGTATATATATATATATATATATATATATATATATATATATATATATATATATATATATATATAAACAAATATAAAACATATATACATATACATATATACATATATACAAACATACATACATATATATATATATATATATATATATATATATATATATATATATATATATATATATATATATATATAAATATAAATATATATATATATATATATATATATATATATATATATATATATATATATATATATATATATATATATATATATATATATATATATGTATATATATATAACATATGTATAGCATATGGGTTTAAAGTATATTTTTAATTAAACTTTTGGAAGTAAAAAAAAAAATTCATTTGGAATGTTTTTTTATTGTAGTAGATATTTATGAACTTTATGAGTTTAATTAAAAAAAATTACTTTTAGATTAAATTGTCTAATTTAAAAGATTTACTACAACTTTTCTTTAATACGCTTAGACATATAGAAAATTCATTTGCAATTAATCATTTCAAAAAAGAAAGAGATTCAGTGTCATCTATTAACCATTTGCCAAAACAATGAGAAAACAGTTGGCTATTCAGTAATTTAGCTAAAAGTGGTGAACCACTAATTTTAACAATAAGACAGGTCAACATTATATAGCAATGCTAAAACTCATCATAAAACATCTGACCAAAAATGAGCGATAAAATATGGTGTCTCACAAGGTTGTATCTACAACAACTTGTCAAAATTAAAATTGCAATAAAAAAGGAGATTTGGCATTTTGGTGAACTTTGCCAATATTTTTTTTTAAGTTTTCTTTGCATTTTAAAAACTGCATAGGACTTTGTTTCCCATTTTTAAACAATTGATTAAAACAGCAACAGTTGGTTGACAAACTTAAAACAA